CGGCGCGCTCTCACCAGCAGACTCTTGATAGAGTTTTACAAGCGGCAATAGTCGGCTTTGGCTTCGGGCGTGCGGAGATCTCTCCAGGCTGAGGATGCCGCGTCACGCCCCGCTGTGGCCTCTCTCCGCTCAGAGTTGTTGGTTAGCTATGGACAGTCTGCTCGTCCAACCCTTCTACTTCAGACAGGGCAGCGACGGTCCGTGGATGCAGTCCAAGGTTTCATGAAATAGGTAACCATGTCATTGGTGTCATCGCCGTTGCATTTTGCTATCCCAACAGAATTATGTAGATCAAGACACTTCAATGGCTCTTACACATTTCATCACATTTCGGCGTATGCCAGGGGCGGCGCAGCAAGAGAGGGGGGAGGGGGGGGGGGGGCGGGCAGGGAGGCACTGCTGTTCCCCCCCCCCCCCGCTGGCAGGCAGGGAGAGTATGTTTTTGCCTCTCAAAGTTTTGGGAGACCTATTTTTCCGAAGCGAAAGGGAAAAATAGGCCTCCCAAGAATTTACACTGTATATAATAGCTCCACAGAATTTACCAAAATTTACATCAATTTACATCAAGCATAAATGAACTAGAAAGTAGTAAAACTCAATCAGAAGACCCTTTCTTGCATCGGAAACACGTTTTCTGGATTATGAGGCTACCTTTATGAATTGGCTTGCACCTCATGCTCTAGACCAGAAGGTCTTATTTGGCATTCGGGAGACGCTTTTGCTGGCTTGGAAGATTCCTTATGAACTAGGCAGCATTCATTCTAAAATAGGTGGCACCGTTCAAGCATCCTGTTCTAAACTACGAGGCGTTTTATGCATCAGGAGATACTTTCCTGGAACTGGAAGTCCTGTTCTGGGGTAGGGTGTCCGTTCGTCGGATCCTTGTAACGGATTTTTAATGGTCAAAATGGCACAACCCCCGCCTCTTGAATATCACACTGCGCAGGGGATCAACCTGCGAGCACCCCATTTTGACTAAAATAGACCCCGAACATCCTATCCGACACAGCCATGTCTACAACACACCGTGCTCGGCAGACGCCGGCGTGGTGTCCGACTCGCCGTGGCCGTCGCTGCTGCTGCCGGCGCTGGAGGACCGCTGCCAGGTGGCAGCACTGTCGCCGCCCTCGGGCTGGCCGGCGGCGGCGCGGGCGCGTCTGCGGGCGGCGCTGCAGTGTCCGGAGCGGTGCGCACCGGGCGGCCGCTGTCGCCGCGGTCGCTGCCTCTGCTGGCCCGGCTACAGCGGCTACATGTGCCATCGGCGGCCAGGTACGGCCGCGGACGGCTGGACGCCGGGCGACGCACGGGCGGCGGCCCTGCTCGGCACGAGCTGGTCTTTGATGGCGGGAGCTCCTCTGGGGAGCACACTCAAAACAGAACGAGCCAGTCCCGTGAGCCGAGCTTACCTACTGGGAACTTCTTAGAGCTAAATGTGGAAGCCGTGCACATTGAATGATCAGGTCCAGGCTACCAGTAGGGGTCCTGAGAGGGGTGTTTGACGTGCTGGGGACGATATGGCCCTCAGAAATGTTCCTGGTCGGAAAACACTTGTTTCAGGTTCACTGACAGTCGGTCTTGGAATGGCCTCAGGAGAGAAGATGGGCTTTGGGCTTGATCTAATCGGGCTTGGTCTAAGGAGTATCTCTAACGTAATATACAGGGGCTTGCATTAAATCCTTTTCGTTCGTCAATGGCCATTTCAGGGCCATCAGATGAAGGAGATTTATTGAGAATTGTGGAACAAGAATTCGTTGGCGGTGGCATTCCGAAGGTGCATGACTATGATTAGTTCCAGAATTCAGGATGAAGTGTGATATGAATGAAAATATTGGTGCCTGTTCACTCTTGACGGTAGGCGAAGTTTGCCTTTAATTCGCAAGCGCTGACCTAGGGCTGTGTAAAAAGTCATGTCCTTCCTCGCCTCGTCAAGATTGCTTAGATCGGTGCTTGGTGATAACGCTGTCATTCCAGGAGCCCCGCCGCTGCTGACCTCCGTCGGTGAGTCGGGTCTGTGTGACCTGGCCAGCTCCTCGTGCGCCTCGGTGCCGGTTCGGGCACTCCATTTCCGGCCATCGGTCGGGCTCCGGTGCCGGGTGCAGCGGGGTGGCGACCGGCCGACGCTGGTTGCCCCTGCCACCTATCGGTCGGATGCAGAAGTACGGTGTCGTCTGCCGGCCGCCTTCCTGCAAACACTGCGCTATTCGGATCAGGTCGAGCCCTGGACCATCCAGGTGGGAGGTGGCGTCAGCTGGGCGTGTGTGAAGAGATCTGCCTGCTTCTGAGAGTGGAAATAAGGCTCAGTGAGTCACGTATCTGTAACTTGCTCCCAGCTCGTCAGCGCTTAACACGATTTTGATAATAAGTTACGGCACTTTAGCTCAGTGCAGATGTGGTTGGATGCTGTGGCCTACGACGCCCTTCTTCAACAATTCCTAACGGTTGCATTGGCTCAGATAATTTGCCCCAAAACCAGCCAAGCAGTACAAGTGTAGCCACTGGAATGCCTCTACCATGCGGACGGACGACCAACAACTACGGATCCGGACGAGGACGGAAACGGCAGACGACCTTCTATTTATCGACAGAATACGGTGGCACTGAATACCCGTACGTGTATGACCGGTATCGCCGTTCCTAATTCCCTGGATATGCGGCCAAGGTGTCTTACAACGGTATGAACTGGAGCAAGTCGATTGACCTGACCTTGTACAACGGCGCTTGCCTGCTCTGCCGCGCCGGACAGACCAACGTCACGTGCCGCGCGGCAGACGGCTGCTGCGTTATCGCCGGTGAGGCGAGAGGCTGGCGCAGCGCCACGCTGATGGTCGGTCGGTGACTGTAGCTGGAAGGTGTGTCGCGTTAAAAGCCAGATTTGCTAGTTTTTGTCACACGGGTTGCATTTACCAAGCACTACCACCATTACCACCAAACACTTTTTTTTCCTTTTGCGTTTTCATGACATTGCATATGGGCTGCATTCTTAAATAGGCTGCAAGTAAGGTGTTTATTCGGATTGCTGCTAAGCGTAGCTTGAACTGCTATCTGGGCACCTTGAGCTGCTATCTGGGACTGCTGGCCAACTGTAGTTCTACGGGCGATTTTTGACGATCGATTTTAGTGTGCCACGCACTGGTGTGGCAAGACCGTCCCTGATTTAACCTAGCTCTCTTGGCTACTTGCCAAATAGCAGTCACCAACGAGTTTCGTTACCAAACTTACGAGTCACCTTGCTGAATCGATGAGCCACATCACTGAACCGACGGGTCACATCACCATACCGACGAGTGATGCAAACCCACAGCTGGCCGCGGGTCGGTTAGTAGCCTACTCTTTACCAGCCCACCTGCTGTACAGTAAAATTCAGCCAAGTTGCCGTCGCCGCAGGCGTGGCCTGCACGCAGCGCACATGTCCAGGGTGGTGCATAAAATAGACTAAGGCTTCAGGGCGGGACGTCTGCAGCCAGGCAACATTGCTGCCGTTGTTCTGTTCACGACCAACACTCACGCTTGTCGTACGCCAAGGGGAGACACGGGGGCAGACGAGCATGCCATTTGACCGCGCCACGCGCCAGTGTTACCGCACGCTCTGCCGCCAGGTCGCTGTTACCGATCCGGAGATACGAACCCGAAGGACCCGTGCCTCTACTGCGGCTCCAGTCGGAGTCGGTGGACGGCCAGAGACGGTGAGGACCAGAACAGCGTTGCCGATATGCCGGCATGCAAGCACACGAAGGACAAGCCAAGTGCATCTATGCTATGTCTAATGGACATGACACCTGTGCGAATTCGGGCGTAACGCGCATGCTCCTATGTGTAGTGATGAGCGCCTTACGCTCAATTATCCAAAATTAGGTCGATGGTAAACGTCGCTGACGTTAGGAGAGCACAATACAAATGTTCGAATTCATTGCCAACGCACTTGTGCTCCACCCATAGGCCAGCAGCTATCTGGAGACTTTCTCTTGCCATCACCTAGTCCGTCAGCCGAACAGGTTTTCAGCTGGGCAGGTTATCAGCTGGACAAGTTATCTGGAGACTTTCTCTCACCATCCCCTAGTCCGTCAGCCGGACAGGTTATCAACTGGGCAGATTATCTGGAGACTTTCTCTCGCGAGCACCGAGTTCGTCAGCCGGACAAGTTATCAGCTGGACAGGTTATCGAGACGGCGTCACATGAAGGGTGAGTCGTCAACATCACGGACTGGGCGGATGACTGGTGCTTATCTCACGAGTCCGGATGGACTCCAGAGCGGCTGACCAGAGGCCACCCCTGCAGGTGCTGACTGCGCCGCCCCCAGCCCACCAGTCACGTGCCAGACGGCCGGCTGCCGGCACGGCATTTGCGTCGACGACAGCGGTGGCGCCATCTGCGTCTGCAACCGCGGCTACATCGGCGCGCGCTGCCAGGTCAGGTCATACCGCGGTTTTGCTGGCATAGACTAGGGAACCATCGAGGAGAGGACAGAAAGCTTCCGTCAATAACCGCAGCGGTGCCCAGTCTCTGAAGCTGAGCTACGAGGTCGCTTTAGTTGTGATGCGCCAGAATATGTTATGGCGCAAAACAAGACATCGGGGTCATTCGTGAGCCCGTTTTGGCGCCTCTGCAGTGGTTAGGTTGTCTGTGGTACAGGAAAAGATTTGAGCTTTGTGCAGATCACGCATGACGCATGACCAGTGCTTGGTGCGGATTAATACGCCCATGCCTTAACGCTTGCTCCTTTTGGAAATGACCCCTCATCAATCACGAGGGAAGTTTCTAACGGGTTAGCAAAAACTTGAGAAATCTATCGATATTGACTTGAGCTCTTATCTCTTCCATTTTTCCCTCAAGATGCCCTTGAAAATTACTTCTTGTGTTTTTTCCTTCCCTCGCGGAGTAGGCATCCACGTAATATTTCTGTAGCGAATGAAGAAACTGGCACCGAGCGGTTGCGCATGCCATCCGTTGCATGTAACCGACGAATGCGGTGACCGCTGCCGTTTTGCGCCAGGTGCCAGAGGATATTACCGACCTGAATGTGATGGAGGAGACGGGCGACGAGATGCTGTATGGACTTCCCGGTGACCCGCTGGAGCGTCGATGAGGACAGCAGGCCGTGTTGTTGAGCCCTTAACACACGTCCGTCAACCGTGTCCCGGCGAGTGCCGGTGCTGGCTTACCCGGGGAGCGCACACTCACTGGGCGGAAGGCCGCAGATCATTGGAAATGTGGCCAAACGTGGTCGAAGGCGTCAGTTGGTGTTAAGCGCCAGGGATCATCCAGTCGTTCGCGATGGTCCTCCGCGCAGGCGTCCCCCCGCCGCCGTCCGGCAGCGCTGGGACGTGACCGTCGCGTTGTTGCGGTGAGCACATCGTCTGAGGCGGGGCGCACAAGCGCGGCCGGCGCCAGCGTCCAATTCCCTCCCCTTCGGGAGCGGATGGGCGGGACGGCGGGCGGACGGGACCGGCCGAGAGCGTTGCTATCGGAGAGCACGGAGGGGCAGCACTGGCACGTGCGCCTCACAGGCGCCAGTGACATGAGCACGCCAATGTGGGCAGCGTGATGACTAACAGACTGGCCGGCGTCATCAGCGCTGCTGCTCTGGCGGAGACGTCAATGGAAGGGGGCGCTGCTTGCTTCAGTCGGCAAGCGTTCAGCCGCCTCTGGCCATCCACTGCTTCTCCCTTCTGTTGGTGCGGCGATAACGCACGTCGTGCTCGCAGTGGTATATTTACATACAAAACACGGATAACTGTCTAGACAGCAGCACGTGTGTGTCATGGCTCCGAGGACTGTTGTACACGCGAGACGTACAAATAAACGCGGCGGCGTGTCGCGTGTTCCATTTTTCCGTTGCCGGCGAAATGTGAAACATAGTTTTACTAGTTGCACATACCTGTCCACCGAATTATCCGGGCTCGTAGAGAGCCGCGGAGACACAGACAAAATGAGAGTTAGTTGCGGGAGACGAACAAACCGGAAGACGCTGCGGCCAGCACGGCTCAGCGAATACACGCCCCAGCTCCCAGATATATAAAGTATTTCGCCTTAGAAATAGCTCAAAAGCTGCGCAGAAGCCAAGCGGAAACGTCCGAGACGACCTTTCTTGTCCGTACCTTTCCACTAAATGGGTTACAAAATGAGCGCAAACAAAATTATAGTAGAAAATAAAGCGCACTGAATCTTTGATTTCATATCATCCTGGCAGGAACACCGCAACGCCGTCAGTCACACAAGCATGGACTTTGATCTGAGGCCGCTTTGCTCGTGATAGCTAGCGTGCTATTATTACAAGCGTCGCCAATGGCACACCACCACGAACCTAACGGACTCGAACTGCTAACATCTTGTGTCTCGTACGAGAGAAAGCGCACATGACGTCACGACCAATGCACTTTCTAAGTACATCGATGGACTGCATCAGGTTTCAGCTGCGCGGCAAACAGCGTTCAACAGTCCCCCTTCAAAAATATCATTCGTTTATCGCAACAGCCGTGCCGACGTGCTACCTTGGCCCGACGGAAGACAGATGTGCAACCAAGGACACAACCAAGCGCGCCGGAGGCAGAGCGCAGCACGCCTATGGCTGCCTCGCTGTTGCTCCTGCCATCGGGGCATGACTATTGAGGGCTGGCTGAGCCTTGCCGGCCCTCGGTGATCTAGCACAAGGTTCTCGACGCCGAGGCGGAACCAGGCCTCGCTAGCACGTCGTCTGGCTCCGCTAGCTTGTCGTCTGGCTCCGCTAGCTCGTCACCCGGTTCTGCTAGCACGTCGTCAGGCTAGCTGTCGGTCTAATTGAACTGCTGCAGCACACTCTTCACCCTGCCAAGACGGAGCCCACGGTGAGCAGCATACATCGTGGGACGGAGCCGGAATACAGCGCGGAAGACGAAGAGAAGACGGTGCGAAACAGTCAATTAGAAACAGAATATCTGGCCTCCCCTCAAATAAGTGCTGGAAGCCCACCATCAGCAGCGCGTACTTAATGTGGGCTTCACAGAGTTCCTCGCGGCTGTGTCACACATTACCCATGCGAACCACGTCTGACAGAGCGCTGTCATCCCGGACATTGTCAAAGCCAGCTCTACCAATGCATCGCCCACCACCTCCACAACCAACCGCATCCCAGAACGCCGCACGGACGGCGGCATCTAGTCCCAGACGTCTCGCGCCGGACCGCTCCGAGGCCGTCTCGAGCGTCCCCTTCCCGCCGGCGCCGACGAGGGGCGTGCCTGGCCACACACCTCTCGTAGAGCGCAGCATCCTCCGTGTGCTGCAGCTGCTGCAGCAGCTTGTAGACGCCCATGCGGCGCAGGCGGGCCTGCCGCTCGCGCGAGCCGTCGTCGCAGCGCCACACCAGGTTGTTGACGGCGAACACGGCCGCCACCCGCAGCCGAACGCTCGAGTGCATCTGATGGCGGCGAGCGCGCAGGGCGTACAGCACAGGCGCAACATGACGGCGCTGCCAGATGGTGCTGGGGCTGTTCAAGTGCATACGTATACCATGGGGAATACGAATTGACATCACATAATTCTTCAAAATTGAGCGTAAATACTATATAATCACAAACGACAGCACACAAACGTAGACACCCTGGGGGTGTCTACGTTGGCATCAAAAGATTGGCAACAGCCACAGTTTCAAACCTGGATCTGCTGTGCCTTCCTTTCCCCGCCACCTCATATGGATCAGACTATGTGCTTCTGGTGGCGCACCCATCGCGAAAGAAATGGTGCAATTCTGATAACAGCTCAGCTTCCCGTCTTACCATGTAGTTCATCAGCTTCTTTAGCACGTCCTCGTTGCCCATGATGAACTCCTTGGACTTAGATCCGTCGGCGATATTGGCCAAGATACAGATGGCCTGCTCCTTGACCTCGGCCGGGTGGTCGCTCTCCAAGGTCAACACGATCGCCTGCCGGTCACCCGAGGTCACAGGGGTCAGCAGAGGTCAGACGGCACCCGGCCACAGGGGTCGAGAGCTGGCTTAATCCACATCCCACCAAAACACGGAAGGACTTCACTGAGCGTGGAAACGTTGTCTCCGTCCGTCACCTGAGCAGTTTGCCGACGTAACCTGGTCGGTGCGGGCCGACCGGTCACGTCTGGCAGCAGTGAGACCTGCCGACCTGAAGTGAGCCCCCTGAGACCCGGACCCTGGCGCCGCCGCCGTCGACGCGGCCGCGTGCTCGGGTCCGGCGCAGGGCCGCCCCGCGCCTCCGGTCGGCAGGACTCTTCACGGACCAGACAGTCCCCACCACAGCGGGCAACCCACCCGGCCCCTCTCCCGCACCTCCCGGCCCGCTGACTGGGTCCGGCGCAGGGCCGTCCCGCGCCTCCGGTCGGCAGGACTCTCCACGGGCCAGACAGTCCCCACCACAGCGGACACCCCACCCGGCCCCTCTCCCGCACCTCCCGGCCCGCTGACCGGGTCCGGCACAGGGCCGCCCCTGGCCTCTGGCCCCGTGCCTCGCCGGCCGCGCCAGCCGCTACCGCCTCACCTGCATGACCTGCGGGCCGTGGCTGTCGTCCATGAACTGGTCGACGTGCGGCTTGGTCAGAAGGTTGCGCAGCAGGCCGAGCGTCTTCATCAGGATGGCCGTGCTCGGGTCGGACAGCAGCCGGAACAGCTCGTTGGTGCCTAGCCGGCGCAGGATCAGCCGCTTGATCTTGTGGTCTGCCTGGTACGCCATGTTCTGCGGGCGGCGCCGGGCGGGGCGGCCCGTCAGCAGCGGCTCACCGCACTCTGGTCATGGCTGGATCGGGCACAGGAGTTACCCCCATCCCCACTGTGGCGTACAGACAAGCGCAGCAGCGCGCGAGGTCATGGTCGGCGCCGGATCAGTACTAGAACGGCGAGCCTCAGAGTCCCAACGCCGAAAAGGCTCGCTTGCGGAGACTCCGATATAATGATATCATAGACAACTGTCTTGCGACAAACAAGTTTTCAAACAATTCAATGCACACGGGTGATAAACGGGAAGTAACGACGACTACCGGCTCCACTAGATCGACCTTCGTTTAGAGCCCAACACCGCATGGACAGGGTGCGGCAGTGTTGAGCCCACCGGCTCATCAGTCAGGCCAGCGGGGCCAGAAGTCAGCACTGAGAGCCCAGCGGCCGGTTCGCCGGCAGGGAACCATCACGGCACTGACAGCCCTGCAGCGTGGCCCGCCTGCACAGCCGGCCCACACAACACAGCATGTCTGTGGTCCGCCCACACCCGTCCGCCTGCCCCAGCCAGCACCCCAATCGTCTGTCACGGCCCGCAGCCCGACGGTCCCTCAACAGCCGGCGGTGAGCCCGAGAAAGCAGTCCAGCAGCCCAGCAGCCCGGCGGTGCGTCCACAGCCGGCGGTCAGCCCAAGCCCAGCAGTCCGACGGTCCCTCCACAGCCGGTAATCAGCCCGAGCCCAGCAGCACAACAGCTCAGCAGCCCGACGGTCCCTCCACAGCCGGCGGTCAGCCCGAGCCCAGCAGCCCAGCTGTTGTCGCTCCCCGCAGAGGTCGGCCCCGACCCCGGCGCTCAACGCTCGCCGGCCGGGAGGTGCCCTCACCATCAGCGCCCAGATACCGTTGAGCCGGATGGCCGGATCGTCGCTCCTGGTCAGCTCGCAGAGCAGGTCAACGCCGCCGTGCTGCACCAGCGGCTCCTGGAGCACGGGACCGGTCAACAGCCGGCCGCCAGCGACTCGCGCCGCCCGACAGCGCCCGACGCGTCCACAATCAGCACCAGTGCACAGCCATACCGGTCCGGGACAGAGCCCACCGCCCAGGATAAACTGACGAGCTACACAGACAGCGTGCATGATGGAGTACTGAGACATAAATGTGGATCAACCCAACCACATCAGCTTGAATACATGATGGCTGCACAGTATGTGCTGCATAGTGTCCTACATCACTACACATACATCATACATAATATCAAAAGCTGTCTTACTCGCAACAGGCAAATGCGTTCGACCACAGAGTTGCGGTTCAAATTTTAGCGGGATTCCGCGCACTTTCTTTCACCTATCCGATGATCGTCGAAAGCCTGACATTTTCGGTATGTATCTGTATCATGTGTTCCAGTAGACGTATCATCTGTCCCACCACCCCGACCGGTCTGTGATAACGTCCGTCACTTGAGCACCGACTTGTTTCGTCCGGTGAGTCGGCGGTCCAGCAATGCCGCCCCACCTTGGACGGCGAGAACTCCAGCAGCAGGTTGCACAGCGTGGAGGAGGCGGCCACCCGCACGTCGGGGCTCGACTTTTTGTGCCTGGCCAGGTTCATCACCTGCTCCCACACCACATGGTCCTGGAGGACCACAGAGGCCACAGGTCAGGGCACACCAGCGCGAAAACACGCCGGAGACGCGCTTCCCACACCGCGTGGTCCTAGAGAGCCACAGAGGTCACAGAGGTCGCCAACGCGAGTTCACGCCGGAGACGCGCTGTTTGACCACAGCGCCCTGGTGAGACAGATGACTCGCGGGGCGCACAGCGCACTGTTCATGTGGCGGGGCCAGCGGTGTGATCCCTGCGATGAAGCCCATGGGATCAAAATCAGAACAAAATACTGTAAATACTAAAAAAAAAGGTAGTAAATGCACAGAAAGCGGCGGGCCTGTGGTTGCCAACACGCATTATCGCCACTAAGACGGTGCAACCGTACTCACAACACTGCCAACACGCCAGCACGTCAGGACACTGGCCGCCGACGGGCCGGCGCGACAGCTCGACGTCAGGACCCTGACCGGAGATGGGCTGGCGCGACAGCTCGACGTCAGGACACTGACCGGAGACGGGCCGGCGCGACAGCTCGACGTCAGGACACTGACCGGAGATGGGCTGGCGCGACAGCTCGACGTCAGGACACTGACCGGAGATGGGCTGGCGCGACAGCTCGACGTCAGGACACTGACCGGAGACGGGCTGGCGCGACAGCTCGACGTCAGGACACTGACCGGAGACGGGCTGGCGCGACAGCTCGACGTCAGGGCACTGACCGGAGACGGGCCGGCGCGACAGCTCGACGTCAGGACACTGACCAGAGACGGGCCGGCGCGACAGCTCGACGTCAGGACACTGACCGGAGACGGGCCGGCGCGACAGCTCGACGTCGCCGGACGGGATGACCGAGCCGCCCCGCGGATCGGTCGGCGGCCGGGCCACCCACCTGCAGGGCGGTGCGCAGCGTCTGCACGGAGCGCGAGAGCGATAGCAGGCAGCGGAGCGCGGCCAGCTGCAGGCTCTCGCCGCCGTCCTCTAGCGCCGCCAGCAGGTCGGCCATCAGGCCCGGCGTCTCGATGATCCGCTTGCGGATCTCCTCGTCGTTGGAGCCCAGCGAGGCGTACACCTGAGCGGCGGGCGGCGGGGCGTCAGGCGCGGCCGTGGACCGGCGACGCGCCGTCCTCATCCCAGCGCCGTCCTCACCCCACCGCCGTCCTCATCCCAGCGCCGTCCTCACCCCACCGCCGTCCTCATCCCAGCGCCGTCCTCATCCCACCGCCGTCCTCATCCCAGCGCCGCCCTCATCCCACCGTCGCACTCATCCCACCGCCGTCCTCATCCCACCGACGTCCTCATCCCACCACCGTCCCCACCCCAGCGCCGTCCTCACCCCAGCGGTGTCCCCACCCCAGCCGTCCTCATCACCGTGATGTGAAAGTTTTCGACGCATGTAACTGCTAAGATCGTAACCGTCGTGATCCCTTAAGCTAGTCGTGCATGCATAAACCGAAACACAGGCGCATGCCATCGAGCTCAAGACCCGTGGCAGCCCTGATTCCGGCTCTTGCCATTAGTTTGTGCGCTTGTGCAGCCGTAGTTCGCCACGAGTGTCACAGACAGCACATCAGTTGACGTTAGCCCCGTCTGTTGATGCGACACACCCGTGGAGCACGAGAGGACGCTGCCAGGCGGGCACCCGGCCGCATTCGATGCGGACAGCTGTGACACCGTCTTGCCCATGCCCCTTGACACAGCTCCAGATGCGGCAGGCAGTCCCCACCAAGCCTGTACTTCTAACCAGCCTGCCCGCCCTGAGGCACGAGCAGCGGTCACTCGCATGGAAGGCACCAACCTGCAGCCTGTTGGACCTCCCTGCTCTCGGCTGACGGACTGTCCGCGCCCAGCCCCGCCCGCCGGCTCCCCTGGGGGCGTGGCGTGACCGGTACGCCCCGGGGCCCCAGCGCCGGTGCACTGACCCTGAAGGCGGCCTTCTTCATCTCGACGGCCATGCGCCGCTGGTGGGAGCAGGTCTTTGGGTGCGAGGTGGTCGGCTGGTAGCGCAGGTACTCCCGCATGGTGGTGGTCACGTGATCAGTGATAGAGCAGATCCGCTGCAGGTCTGCAACGGCGCCGACGCGGTCAGACGCTCCGCAGCGCGGCAGCCGTCGCCGATGCGTCGCCGGGACGCTGATGATGGCGAGCACGTGATGCTGTCAACTACAGCCAGGCTCGAGGCAAAGATGGCTAACATTGCGTTCCTTAAGCCACGAACACCGATCTTATCAGAGTAGCAAGGTGGATTGCGAGATGTTATCGATGCCCCGGCCAAGGTAATCTGTTGTCCAGCGCTGCAGCTGTTTAACATACCAACACATGATTATCCGTGGTCACCCAACAGTCCACATACCTACGGGATTCAGACCGACTCATTCTGCAGCACGCCGACGCCGAATTTACCGCATAACACTAGTCCAGCATTGTTACGGGTCGGCTGGCTAAGGGCACAAAATGCGAACTGATCTATTCTCTATGCAACTAAGACAAAAACAGAAGCGCAAATTGACTGTAAAAAGCAGGCAAAGCATTGCGGTATTAACACGACCCGACAGGGACCGGTCACAGCACCTGCAGCCAACAGCCACTGAACAATGTGGACGCTCCCCCCTCTCCCCCCCCCCCCCACACACACGCAGGCGAACACCAGTCGCCTGCGAGTCACAGATCGGCACGGAGCATCGCACCCTCCACAGGCTGCGGTCGCTCACCGAGATCGACCTCGGTGAGGTAGCCGAGCGTGTCGGCGGCGAGCACGCGGTCCTCCAGCGGCTGGAAGGGGCCGCACATGCGCACCAGACACGGCAGCGCGCGGTAGACGAGCCGCGGGTCGGTGGCGGGCAGCGCGCCGGCGCCAGCCCGGTGCATGTAGCTGAGGCAGCGGGCCGCCTCCAGCTGGACGGCGCTCGGCTGGTCTCGGGACGTCAGCACCGTCAGCAGGTCCGGCACCGTCCGCCCGCTCAGCCTGCCCGTGCCGCACACGGAGTGAGGAGACGCTGATACACTGGGCTGGCCGCTTAGACGCATGCGGCGGTGTAGCGTGTGACCACGCGACAGATCTGGACGTGGGGGTGCTTTGAGGCCTGGTTGATGGAAAAGTACCAAACAGAAGCGAGGATATGTCAATCTCCCATTGGCAAGCCCTACAATACAATGCTTTGCTTAAATACGTGACGCTACAATGACAAATACACGGACGCCGCGGACGCTTCCCAGGCGACCACTAGTTTCCCAGGCCCCACGGCCGCACACCAGAGGAGGCGCTCGCCCGTCGCGTGCCGTTCGGCGGTGCGGCGCCATATCTCACGTGCAGTGGGCGAGCCGGTCCGAGATGGCCGGGCTTCGGTAGCAGAGCGAGGCGAGCAGACGGAGGCTGGGCAGCCGGAGACAGGCCGTGCCAGAGGCCAGCAGCGCCGCCGACACCTCCACCACGCCGTTGGCCGCCAGCAGCTCCTGGTGGCGGCTGCTCTGCGGGCGGCGAATATACGGCGCGGTCAGACACGGCGCTGCCAGATACGGGCGCTGTCAAACACGGCGCTGCCAGACGCCGGCGCCATCAGATAAGTGCGTGATAGACACAGTCGCCGCTCGGCACAGCCAGTCCAGTCAGATGGGTGTAGTCAAGATGGGAAGGGTACGGGCGAACGCACCCACAGCAAGTCAGCAGAGCGACACACTGAGCTACATACGGCTCGCAAGCGCCCACACCATGATGGCAACACTACTTTCTATGAGTGTGGCCGATATGCTGGCTGGTAACGTGCCTGTGCGAGTATGGCCAGTATGGTGGTGACGTACCTGGCAGAGTATGGCCAGTATGGTGGTGACGTACCTGGCAGAGTATGGCCAGTACGGTGGGGGCGTGCCTGGCAGAGTATGGCCAGTATGGTGGTGACGTACCTGGCGGCGCATGGCCAGTATGGTGGTGACGTACCTGGCGGCGTATGGCCAGTATGGTGGTGACGTACCTGGCAGAGTATGGCCAGTATGGTGGTGGCACACTCGTCGTCGACCACGGCGCCAGTGACGCTCTGCGTCAGGAGCGGCACGGCCGCCGGGTCGCGGCACAGCTCGTCGGCGCGCTCCGGCAGCTGCAGCAGCAGCGAGCGCAGGCAGCGCAGCAGCGGCGTGCGCAGCTCGGGCGCCGCGCTGCGCAAACCTGCCGCGTGCGCGCCCCGCCGCCGGTCAGCCGTCACACCGGGGCAGGCGGGCCCCGCCATCACACGCGGCCAGCAGCGGTCAGTGTGGCGTGTGGTGCGGAGCTCGGTCAGGTCAGGGGACAGGCGACAGCGCTGGTTGGGTCAGGGGGCAGGCGACAGCGCTGGTCAGGCTACCAGCGGCACGACTCGGACGCGAGGAGCTCTGACAGGCCAGGAGCGACGGACCAGTCCGAGCACAACTGGAAGACAACCTCAGTCTGCGACTGCATCAATGAGCGCAGATTCAGTGTGGCATGTATGTCTATATCCGCGTGTATATATATATATATATATATATATATATATATATATATATATATACATATACATGGTGGACTATCTCCCCCGACTCAGCGTTGACAACCGAGCACGATGTCGGGTGCTCCAGGTATGGGCGTCGTACCCGGCGACTCCAGCCGAACCGCGGCGGACCTACCCTCGACCAGCAGCGGCAGGATGTTGGCGTCCACCAAGGCGAGCGCGTGCTCCCGGGTGCCCTTGGCCAGAGAGCCGAGCGTCACAAGGATCTCCACCTGGACCTGAGGCGTGGCTGGCCGTCAGAGCCGGCGGCGTCACGGCGGTGTGCTGAGAGCGCACAGTGGCCATGCCCAGTGGATGGGGGAACACCAGCGAGCGCTAGTGCAGCTATAACTTTACACTTTAAGTGTAACACAACGTTGCATTCAAGGTGTAACTATTCCATACATAGCAGAGCTGCAGGTCCATAGCAGCTGCAGGTCAACAGCACAGGCAATGTGCATGATATCCATCTAGAACGATCTGACGCGTGTCGGGCACGGACCAATCGCTACATGGATAATGATCGGACATAGATGACGATCGGACATAGGTGACGACCGGACATGGATAAAGATCGGACATGGGTGACTACCGGACATGGATGACGATCGGACATGGATGTCGATCGGACATGGATGTCGATCAGACATGAATGACGAACGGACATGGATGTCGATCGGACATGGGTGACGATCGGACATGGATGTCGATCGAACATGGGTGACGATCGGACATGGATGACGATCGGACATGGGTGGCAATCGGGTATGGATGACGACCGGACATGGATGACGATCGGACATGGATGCTGATCGGACATGGATGCCGATCGGACATGGATGCCGATCAGACATGGATGTCGATCGGACATGGATGACGATCGGACGTGGGTGACGATCGGACATGGATGAACATCGGACAAGGGTGACGACCGGACATGCATGACGATCGGACATGGGTAACGATCGGACATGGATGACGACCGGACATGCATGACGATCGGACATGGGTAACGATCGGACATGGATGACGACCGGACATGGATGACGATCGGACATGGTTGACGATCGGACATGGGTGACGACCGGATATGGATGTCACCGACGAACGCAGCAGGCATACTGCAATCTCCATCCCAAACGCACCGGGCCAGTGCTGCACAACAGCGTCCTCCACCGCTCCAGCGCGTCAGAGTCGCCCTCAGAGCCGCACAGCCGGGCACCGACAGCGCGCCGCCGCCGGGTTCCCGGGGGCCACCCTCCGCAGCGGCGGCTGCCGTCACGTCACGTCACGTACCCTGGTGCCAACCGTCGGGTCGGCCACCCCCGGCAGCAGCGGCGGCTGCCGTCACGTCACGTCACGTACCCTGGTGCCGACCGTCGGGCCGGCCACCCCCGGCAGCAGCGGCGGCCGCCGTCACGTCATGTCACGTACCCTGGTGCCGACCGTCGGGCCGGCCACCCCCGGCAGCAGCGGTGGCTGCCGTCACGTCACGTCACGTACCCTGGTGCCAACCGTCGGGTCGGCCACCCCCGGCAGCAGCGGCGGCTGCCGTCACGTCACGTCACGTACCCTGGTGCCAACCGTCGGGTCGGCCACCCCCGGCAGCAGCGGCGGCTGCCGTCACGTCACGTCACGTACCCTGGTGCCAACCGTCGGGTCGGCCACTCTCCGCAGCAGGTGCGGCACCATGCCGCACTCCACCACGTGCGTCTTGGTGCGGTTGCTGCCGATCACCAGGTTCCGCAGACGTCTGGGGTACGCGGAACGGTGGCGTGTTAGGGGCGGTCACGTGACGCTCTAGCGGGAGGCCACGAGGCGGCCTCGGCATCGGCCGAGCATGGCGAAGAGCAACCCAGCATCCATGCTGGTGATCAATGGATTTTAGTACATGATGGCAATGGTCCACTTATGTAAAGGTGAGCCAAAAGGTAAGGCATGTGAATGGGTCATAATGGAAAACTGTGACATATCTGGCATGCCAGGGTACTTACTCAATTGCTCCAAAGCATTTGTCGCCGTCATCACTGAAGAAATTGTCCAGGAACTGGCGATTTCCCTCCACAGCCTAAACAATTAGGACTTGTTAGGTATATTTGCCAATGTTGTGGAAAAAGATTAAGTTCACATATCATAGTGTAGTGAATAAACTTCCCAACACATGCCTCTTGAAGCATTTAGCAACAACACACATTGCATCCAAGTGTGCACATAAGCCTGGTATCCACATCCCCACAATGAGATGGAGATGAGATGGGGGCAAGGGGGGTCAGACACTATCCTCCTGATTTCATGTGATGGCACACACACTGTCTTGTATCTACCAAATGACAATTGAACAAAGGAGTTCCTAAGGAAGAGGGATGTGGTTTTCTAGATCCAGCATGGACATTTCTGACACTACCTTGAGCCTGAGGTAATAATTATGACTGGAATTTCAAGAATTTTGGCATGGAATAATAGTGTGGGCTGGCATGGTGGCTAACATGATCAACACACTGGAATTGTAAACCCACTTCACCAGCCATACCTGTAACAACCTTGCAGAAACAGGTTCTGCATAGCTTACAAGGCTGTTTACCCCATACATCAGAGGTGAAATCTTTTTACATAACTTTCATTGGGTAATGCTTTGGAAGCACACTATTCATCATAAAAGGTCACCTCCTTCTGATGACTCACCTCCAGCATGGCTGTATATTTCTTAAGATAAGTCAAGTGATGTCTTCAGAGGTTTAGACAGCATCCAATCTGAGGCCAATACCAAGTAACATGCTTTACAATCCTTCTGACTTTGTACTTGCAGCAACCTGGCATACACCAGTCTGAAAATGCAATGCAGGGTGTTGTTATCTGATGTAGTGCACACATGGGGGCAGATAATAGGCATGAATCCAGTGTTATCTTAGGCCAATCTGTTTCTAGTTATCCGAGGGCTTGTGGTGTTCAAGGGGACTTAAATGTTAATTGGCTGGGCACTGGGGGGGGGGGGGGGGGAAGAGGGCATACATTTATTGGCCTGGCTGATGCCTAACCATAGGAAACTAGGCATGGTACAAGGTAGCATTTAGGTGCCATCAACACCTCAGGCCCCAATTAAATAAGAAAACCCAAGACCCATAGGGACAGTGCCTGAGTGATGGAGCGATGATCAAGGATGCCAAGGCTGATAAACAAAAAGACTCCATACAGGGTCCTTGCTTAAGCACAGGGCTCTCCACACAGACAGGGAGAATCCAAGACCAATGTATGCACATTAATTACCTTGAGGGATGAAGGGCCTCTTGGCAGATAAATGAATAGGGCCTGACAACTGATAACAGCATAGGGTCATCAGAGCAAATATAATGTGCCCAAAACTAGTGTAGAAGCCTCTGCACAATTAGGAGTGCCAGGCAGGCTAACAGAAAGAGCCCTGACAAGATTCCCTGGCCTCCACAGGTAAGATTGAATGGAACAACCCCTGGACCTATCTAGAGGGCCCTCAAGCATCAGGTGCCTTCTAGAGGGCCCTCAAGCACCAAGTGTTTGCTTACATGCCCCCCCCCCCCCCCCACCCCACAGCAAAAGCACAGGGCCCTCAAGGCTCAGAGCAAGTGGAAAGAACCCAAGACCAATGTGAATGGCCCTTGACCAACCAAGAGCGCCCCAGCAGGTTAACATAAGCTCCCTGTAATAGTGCATATAGTCTTTCAGACAAATAGGAGGAATCCATCATATGTGCCTGATCAATCACGAGTGCCCAGGCAGGTTAGCATATGGGGACCAAGAACCATGTATGGCTTTCTGAGCAAATGCAAATAAATCAAAGGCAACATGGAAAACTCCTTAGTAACATCATCAGCCAATCACAAAGATGTAAAGGGCCCTACAAGAGTACATGGTCTGGCCAGGCTATGAGCCTTAAGACCTTCCAATCAACACCCTACACATCAGTTCTCATGTATGTATGCCCATAGGTCCTCCACCTTTGCTTGTGGCTCTTCTTGATAACCTGATGGCCCTAGGACATCTAATTTTGTTGTGCTATGCATTTGTAAAGAAACTGTCTATTTGGCCAGCTATAACAGCACATGGCCTCCTCAGGACCCAAGCAGGGGCCATGACTTATGGTGCCTGAATCTGTGACTACCCAAACTGTCAGCACTTACCCAGCACCCCACATACATAATGCTCATAAATTAGCAGACATGCCCATAGCAGGCCATATGCACCTATTCAGCTTTGCAAATCTTGGGGGACTTGTGGCTGTCCACCACAAGTTTCAACCTTCTAAAACCCCTATCCCTAGTTTGCAATCTGGGGTCTGTATGAGGGACATCTTTCATTTACAACAATGAAATTACAACATTTACACAGAAAAAAGTGAAAGCATTTAGATGTTCATCGTTATTTTGAGCATAGTTGAACAATGCTTAAGCGGAACACAATGAAATCATTTAAAACGCAAGATCCCACTGTTATCAATCTTGGGCCATGCAACTCTTAACATTGCTGATTCTTAAAATGTGTACATGGTGACGACGCATCTGTGCACTAATGTGTACCTACCCCTCCCCCAGTGCCTACCTCTCGCAAGCCCCCACCGCCCTGCCCTCCCCGAACTTTCTAAACCACCTGCCCCTTCGCTCAAACTCTACATGTTACACACACACACACACACAGCCTGCCTGAGCTGGAAACGCCTCAATTATCTGCTCTGTACGATGAGCACAAAATATTGCACAAAAGCCCTACATGACCAACAAAAGCAAATCAAAGGTTTGCTGTTTCAACCCCTTTCAAAGTCCAATCCCATCATTGGTCCAAACCTGGTGACGCATGCCGGTATCATTGATCCAGATCACTATAATCACTTACAAGTCCTGAAGTTTAACCATAATGTATGATGGAACAGTTTATCACGTGAATCAGAATGCATTCCGACTCAAAAATGTTACGAAAGATGCATGAACCCGTGTAAATGAGAAGTTTTAGGGCAGTTTCAACAAACTATTGCTGCACCCGAGGCTATCTAATAGTTGCACCCAAGGCCATTGTTGCACCATTGGTTGTACCCACCGGACGACTTACTTTGTCCATCACTATTGTGTAGAGTGACACGGCGCGGCTGCGACAAGTACTGTTTATGGTGTGCCGGGGATTTTTTAGGCTTGGTATTTAGCGACACTTTTTCAAGATGGCGATAATTCAGCCATGGTCGCAATGTGATTGTCTGGGTAAGGCATCTTTGAAATGAACATTGGTGTTAGAAAAGACGGAATATGAGGTGATAACCTGGTGAGGATTAAATAGACTTCCTCTGCATTATCTCACTGTTTACATAACACTATGGTGCAACTCAGTGATATTGGATGTCCTCCCAAGTTAAGGAGGAGGTGGATAATCGGTAACAGAAATGTGTTTATCCAATTTCAGCCATCTCCCAGATGTCCAAAGGACCAATTCTCACTGTTAAGCCACCATTTTAGTTTCTGCACCTGTAACCGAAAAGGTACCAGTGGTGATACAGATGAGATTGGGTTTGCAGTATAGTTGTAAATTAAGTCACTATAATCTCTTCAAATGCATGCCACCTTTGCTGACTCAGTGAAGGCAGCAGCAGCAAGCAGCTGACTTACTCAGGGTAACAAAAATATTGGGTAATACCAAGCTGGTGCTACTGTGCTGACCCTTTTGGCTGATTGTGGCTGTCTGGCTGTGTCTGGATTAAGAATTGGCAATGAATTGTTTGCATAAGAATATACTGCTGTGGTTTAGTTTTAATGTTCAACTGTATATGCACAATGACAGAAAGAGTATGGTAATTTGTATTACAGATTAATTTTAACTGAAGAAAAAGAGGTAGAAATTTGAGTTGTTTTATTCAAAACATAATTGGAAATTATATACATTATGTCAATCAGCTTGTCATCTTACCCTACATGTCATCTGAGAAAAAGTCTTTGGTAGTACCATAATGGTACCAAAAACACTGTTTTGATCACGGACTATGTTTATGGACCCATGAATGCTAAGCAGAGAGCTAGTGTGTTAGAGAGGCTGATTTCATCATTTTAACTGCTACTAATCTAAGTAAGAACCAGCTCATGGTATAAAATTAACAAACATTTCAGTCCACAAGAGCAGATTAGGTCCTTGGACAGGTAATGTCTGCACCCAAGAAGTATTAGGCTGGCTCTGTTGGGTTGGCTTGTAATGTGCTGTGGTGGTTTGGTCTTGTGGTCTGACCTATAAATAGCATTAGCACCAGTGATGTGTTGTGATGGCTTATGTGTATTGCATGAGATTTATATGGGGAAAGGCATTGACTCATTGCAGTTTTCAGTGGTAAAGGAGTGTAGAGTGCATGAACACACAAATTTGTGCATGCTGCCATATTGTGCACCTTAGTGCATGATAGTCTAAATGGAAAAAGATTGTCATACCAGTTTTTATGGAAAGGGATCATTATATGCAAAGAGTACCAGGATATTTACATACTCCATTGATTTGGGATATGCATTTGCTTCCCTTTGTTTCAAACATTTTGTTATTAATTTCACTGCATTTTATTTGTCAAGGGCTGGTTGCTGCTGCGATTGCTGGCTCAAAGGCTATTGGTATTTGTACATATGGTAATTACTACCTTTTATGTCATTGGAAGAATGTGTGCAACATGCAGTTGGGTTCCCCATTATTTTCATCTTTTGATTGCCACCTCACATCCATTCAGTATTTTTGGAAATGCTTGCTGCCTTGGGTAATGAAAAAGCTGGTGCACAGGGCCCAATTGTGTTGTCAACAAGTCAGGTATCTGCTGTGGAAGCATTACCAGCAACCCTCATTGATTTTGTTAATTCACAGGCATGAGCCAGTAAGTGGTGGTGTGGTGACACCTGCGGAGACACCACACAGCAAGGGCCATGCCGCGTCAGAAGCAGGCGGCCCCGGCGCGTCGCACGGAAGAGGAGCGCGCTGCCGACTCGTGGTCGGGTCAGGACCTGCTGCTGCCGGGCGGCGACGCCTCGGCGGCTGGGCCGGCGGCGCCCGACCGGGCGGCGCCAGGCGAGCGGGGCACCGCGGGGCTCGGTCGACCCGCCGCGGGCTCGGAGTCGCCCGATCTGTCCGCCGACAGCGAGAGTGGGTCGACGCTCAGCGACAACGAGGTGATTACTCTGAGCGACGATGACGACGGCGACCAAGTGATCACGCTGAGCGACGGCTCCGACGGCGGCGCTGCGGCCGCGGCGGCGGTGACGCCGGCCCGGCGGCGATCGCGCGCCTCGCGCGGTGATGCCGAGTACGACCGGCTCGCCGCCGAGCTCGCTGAGTTCGACTTCTACGTGCCGGTGGCGGCGGGGCGCACCGCGTGCTCGTCGCCCGCGCCGCTCGGCTCCCTCGAAGTGGTGCTCGCGGAGCCGGTACCGACCCTGCCCGACGCCGACCAGTTCTGGGTGTACGTGAGCGGCGAGCAGCGGCGCGCCGTCCTCTACTTCGAATGGAAGGTGCGCGGCGACGGGACGCGGGCGCGCCAGCGTGTGGCGCGCACCGCCTGCTTGGAGGCGGCCGCCGTGCAGCGAGAGCCGGTGTGGCGCACGCTCTCCGGCTGCGGCGGCGCCGTGGAGGTGGCGCTGCGTCACTATGAGCCGACGTCGGGCGTGCTGACCCTGGGTCTGCTGCTGGCGGAGCGCGTGTTCGTGGAGCTGGCGCACCCGAGCGAGGTGCCGCGCCGCGCCAACGCCGCGTTCCGCGCGCTGATGCGCCAGCTGTTCGGCCTGCCGGGCCGCGAGTACGAGTTCCGGCCGTTCGGCCCGCTGGACGTGGAGGCAGTGTACGGCCGTCTGACGGAGCAGCGACAGCGGGCGGCTGCCGAGCCGTCCGACGAGCCGCTCCCGCCGGACCCGCAGCACCCGCAGCTGCTGCCGCGCCTGCGGCCCTACCAGCGCGCCGCCGTCGCTTGGATGCTGCGTCGCGAGCACCGGCCGCCAGCCGATCCGGCCCAGCTGCACCAGTTGTACGTGCCGCTGCCGCTGGGCGGTGCCACCGTCTACTACTGCCCGCTCGGCGGCTGGGTGGTGCGTGAGCGACCGGCGGCGGTCAGCTCACCGCCCGGTGGCATCCTGGCCGACGAGATGGGCCTGGGAAAGACGGTGGAGATTCTCTCGCTGGTACTCACCCATACCCGTCAGGACGTGGAGAAGGTGGAACCCCGGGAGCCAGTGGACCTGCTGGCGTACGAGGCGTCCGTCAAGTTGGAGGAGGCGTCGAAGCGGCGGCGGCGGCCCAAGCGGACGTGGTCGCCGTCCGACTCTGAGGATGACACGCCCGCTGGGAT